AAAAAAAAAAAAAAAAAATCCATTGACACCATAACTACTGTTCACTCGGTAGAACAATGCTGCACCATCTCTCTTTGTTTCTCTCACTGAAAGGATAGCACTTGTCCGAGGATCAACCAGTGAAACAGCTAAAAATACCTCGCTGGGAGCTGATTTTGTTTTTAAATTATTTTTTACTGGAGCAAAATTAACAATATACAGTTAACCATTTTTAAAATGTATATAATTCAATGGTATTTAGTTGTGTAACCACCAGCTCCCTGGTTTCAGAATTCCATCACCCTGTGAAAACACTGGCACCATAAAGTCATCACTGCCATCCCCACTCCCTCCATCTCCTGGTGACATCTAATCTGCTTTCTGTCCCTATGGATTTGCCTCTTCTGTAAAAGGACTTCTACAACATGGGACCTTGTGTATCTGACTTCTTTCACCTAACTTGTTTTCGAGGTTCATCCTAGAAGCTGATTTCCTTTGTAGAAAGAGGGCAAGGGGAATTTCATCAGAACAGTGCTTTCAGGGGCCTCGAAGGGAAGAACTTCTTCCCCTCGGGACTAAGTACCTCTTCCACATTGGGAATGTTCGTGGAGGTCGGCAGGGAGGACTCTTCCTGCGTCATGTTCCGGGAAGTGGGGAGAAGGAACTGTGTCTGCTCACTGCTGTTTCCTGGCCTGTCGCCCTCATCCTGATGCCACTGCTCTGCCTTTTGCAGCGCGACTGCGAGTACTGTCAGTACCATGTCCAGGCTCAGTACAAGAAGCTCAGCGCAAAGCGCGCTGACTTGCAGTCCACCTTCTCTGGAGGACGAATTCCAAAGAAGTTTGCCCGCAGAGGCACCAGCCTCAAAGAACGACTGTGCCAAGATAGCTTTTACTACGGAGGAGTTTCTTCTGCCTCATATGCAGCTTCAATGTAAGATGTTCTCGGGGCTTCTTTTGGGCAGAGGATTTTGCTTATCAAAGACTAAACCTACTAGTTGTACCTTCCTGTAACCGTCATAGGATACTTGTACAGGTTTTATCTTTCATCACTCATTGCCTGAAACAAGTTGGTTAAAGACCGCTTTTATTCCCAGGTAGAGATAAAAACTTTCAGGAGACAGACAGATTGACTTATGTTGTGTTGAACTTTAAGAGAGCCC